GCATGTTGGCTCATTCTAAAGCACTCTGGCATAGTGGTACTGCAAAGCCAGCCAGGTCTGCTGTGGACTGAACAGAAAGAACTGTGTTGGTGGCCTCAGACCTCCAACACTGTGTACTCCCTTCAGTTTCTGGTAAGCATGCCTTTTGTCCTTTAATCACACTGCTACTAGTTGGACTTCTCCAGATGACACAGTGCTGTCGATGTCATTTTCAAGTCATGCACGGCTCATGAAATGAGTTTAATGGCATAATCGGACCAGATTATACTATTTGCTATTGTAAAATATTCCTTCTGTTAGAATAGCCTGCAATAGGAAAACATGTATGTACATCTATGTATGTATAAAACATTGCACATACCTGGGCATGGTAGCATAAACCTATTATCTTGGCACCCAGGAAGCTCAAGTAGGAGGATTGCCTCAATTTGAATGACTCATAGGTAAAGGTACCGGCTACCAAGTCTACCTGAGTCCATTCCATGCTTGGACCCACAGCGTAGGAGAAACCTGACTCATGTAAGTTAGCATCGGACCTCCACATGCTTGCCTTAGTATACACTGCTACATATATTCTCTCTCCCCCCCCCCACACACACAAATAAAAATGTAACTAAAAAGAACATTGCAACTGGGCAGTGGTGGCGCATGCCTTTAATCCCAGCACTTTGGAGGCAGAGGCAGGCAAATCTCTCTGTTTCAGGCCAGCCTGGTCTACAGAGAAAGTGTCAGGACAGGCTCCAAAGCTACAGAGAAACTGTGCCTCGAAAAAACAAAACAAAAACAAACAAACACAAGACATGGCCCATTATAAAACACCATGCTTTAGTTATATCTATGCACATACATGACTACATGTGCATAAGGATATCCATCGGACCACAGTTACTTCTTGGTATAGGCCATTGTCAAACAAGTCTGTAAGTTTCTGTTCCGGAACAACTCTGAGATAAGGGAATTCTTGTTCATTTGAAAACAGGAAGTGATGCCCCTAACATGGAGCTTTTGTGAAGAACTAGATTCAGATATGCAAACAGGATCTCAAAAGGCCAGCATCTGATGTTGCCTCTTCGAAGTGATGAAGGACAGCAAGCTAATGAGGCTGGTTGTGCTGGAAGTAAGGGGAGCTCCCATTTCACAACTTTGATTCCAAGAGGCCACAATACAAAGAGGGGGGAAGTGGATGCTATTTTCGTGGAGTTCTCAGGAAGCCCGGCATCACTGAACAAGGTACGCTACAGCTCACCTTGTGTTTGGCCACTGTGAGAAGAGTTGGATCTACTCATCTGATCAGGGAGTAGGCATCCCACAATAGCCTCCGGTGGGCATTACCGGCTGCCTCCATTCTTCACTGCCCAGCCTCACAGACTTAGGGACGGGAGAACTTAAGTGCCTTTGCAGGGCACCCAGCACCACCTCCTCAGAAAGGCCACAGGGGTTAGAGAGATGGCTGCATGGTACTCAGAGGTCTTGCAAAGGAGCAGAATTCAGGTTCCCAGCACCCACACTGTGGAGGGCGGCTCACAATTCTTGGGGACCTGACCCTCTTTCTGGCCTCCTTGGGCACCTGCATACATGTGCACTGACCCATTCCCCCACCCTCACCTTCCCCACATACAAATAATTAAAAATAAACCTTTTAAAAACCAAAACAAAAAAGGCCAGGAACCTGAGTCTTTTGAAGAAGGGTAATACACCTGTAGCCAGCCCCAGGAGGTGTGGTTAGGACGACCCCTGCAGGGGAACCTCCAGCATGTCTTAGCAAGTGATTTATTTCTTTATCGTGGGTCAATTCGTGCTGTGTGGAATAGAATGTGTGCAGAGCATGCTGGCTGTACGGACCAGCACTGGGATGCATGGCCTTGGGCTTACATGTGAACTCTGTCTTAGTAGGGTCTCTCTTGTTGTTTTAAACATCATGTCCAAAAGCAACATAGGGAGGCATGGGTTTATTTCAGTTTACACTGTATAGTCCATCATGGAAGGAAGTCAGGTTCTATGAATGTGAGAGAGAACTCAAGGCAGGAATGGAAGCAAATACCATGGAGAAATAGTGCTTGGCTTGCTCTTTATGAACTGGCCCTTTACTCTCTCTCTCTCTCTCTCTCTCTCTCTCTCTCCTTCCTTTCTTCCTTCCTTCCTTCTTTCTTTCTTCCTTTTCTTCCTTCCTTCTTCTTTTCCCCCTTTGGTTTTGGTTTTTCAAGACTACACAGGGTTTCTCTGTGTAGTCCTAACTGTCCTGGAACTCACACTGTAGACCAGGCTGGCCTTGAACTCAGAGCTGTCTCTGCCTCCGAAGTCACCACTGCCTGCTTGTCATCCTGCTTTTTATACCACCCAGAGCTACCTGCCTCCAGTGGGCTGGGCCCTCCTCCGTAGACTTGCATGCAGGCAATCTGATGAAGGCATTTTTGAGGTTCCTCTTCCCAAAAAACTCTAGCTTGTGTCAAGTTAGCAACAATTTAAAAAAAAAAATCCTGACAGACTCCATCATTCACTGGTTGTGTAGCATAAGGCTAGTAACGTTTCCAAGTCTCAGGGTCCTCACAAGAGACAAGAGTAGAGTATGATGGTTCACCTCTGTGATCCCAGCACTTTCGTAGCTGAGGTAGGAGGATCACCAAAAGTTCAAGGCCAGTCAGTCTCAAATTTAAAAATAAATCTAAAGTAACAAGGGAAAATAACGCCGTCTGTAGACAGTAATGCACATCCATGTGATAGCCCATGTAGATTGAGGACATTCCATAGCACTGTGTAGATGTAGGCTATGGGGATGGAAGTAGTCATCATCGTCCAAAAGATGACTGTACCCGCCCAGGGCAGGGTGGATCTGAAGATGGGGTCGGCACTAAGGCAGTGGTGGCAGCATGGAGAATAGGGGATGCCACAAGAGTAGAATTGCTTGTGGGAGGTGGAGAAACTTCTTCTTATTTGGGTAAATACCCTATTTGCCCTAACGTCCTCTGAGAATGTGATAGGAGAGTCTCTTCACCCGACTGTGAAGGCAGTGATAACGGCAGGTGTCAAGGAGCTTGGTCTATGGAGAGGGCAGAGGTGAGACAGCTAGCGAGCAGCAGTGGGAGACACAGTTGGTTTTGTAAGAAGCTGCCACACTGCCTTTCAAGTGGCTACACCATTTTGAGTCTCCAGCAGTGAGCAGCAGCTCTGGGGCTGCACATTCCCACCAGCTCCTCCAGTGGCCACGCCTCTCACAGCGCTAACAGGCCTGCAGCAGTTCCCATCCACTGGGGACCACTGCCTCCCCGCCCCAGGGGAAAACGTGCTCTTTACTCCTGGTTTGTGTTTTCTGTATTTATTTGGCACAAAGGAATAGATATAGGAGAAACATGCATGCATTACATGCACACAAAAACATAGACACATAAAACTTTATATAACGAGCAGCATATTCTTTTACAGTTAAGAATAGTTATGACTGGTGAAGTGGATCCGTGGGTTAAAGTCCTTGCTGTCAAGGATGAGTTCAAGCCCACCTGGTAGAAGGAGAAAAATGACTTCTGCAAGTTGTCCTCTGCAAGTTGCCACATACACATTGGACACACATTATTAATAAGTGTAATAATTTTTTAATTATGCTTACTTATTTCCTGTTTCTGGAAACATCATCGGAATATATGTCTTAGTTACTTTCCTATTGCTATGAATAGACACCATGACCAAGGCAATGCATAAAGAATTCACTGGAGCTTACTGTTTCAGAGGGCAAGTCCATGGCCATCATGATGGGCAGCATGAGGGCAGGCAAGCATGCGTAGTGCTGGGGGGGCACTGTTGTTTGATATTTTACTATGTTTGGCTTTTTGGAGGAGCCCACCACCCAGCTCCTAAATAAATCACACACGGAGGCTTATTATAACCCCAAATGCCTTCCTCATCAGTCTGTTCACCAGAGCCTACTTTTTTCTTGTCTGCCTTGCTGGCTCCTCAACACGTCATCAATGGATGGTATCATTTGGTTCTACATTCCTGCCATTCTCGGTGGAGGCATGTGTCTGCTCCACCTCTTCAAAAGTACAAGTTGCTTCCTGATGTTTACATGGCTACTGTCTTCATTGAAAATAGGTTTTTCATTTTATATGTTACATTCACTTTTTTCAGACATACTTTTTTGCATATTTTTAATCTCATGGTGTCTACCAAACTTCTGGGAGACCTAACGATGCCATGTACATTAATTGTTGTTCAAGATAGACTATGCCCTTGTGCATTTTATAATTTTGGACCATGATATCTTCAGAAGACCCCCTCTGTCTATGCTTAGTTAAGGACATGTCACATGTCATACAATATTGTATATGCTTTTTTGGGACATCCTGGGATACCTCATCCTGAGACCAATTTGTATATTAATATGTCCTATGGTTAAGCAATACACACCAACCACATGGAATACAAAATGGCTCAGGTTCACAAGAGAGACTCCACCCATGCAGAGTCCAGGTAGAGACGCACAGTCTTCATGGTGAGCACACTTTAGTGTGGATTGCTACTTCCCAAAGGTAAAGCCTTTTGGTAGGTCCTGGCTTCTTGCAGGGTCTTCAGTTAACATCCCATCCACAAGGCTTTGTTTCAACACAGCAAAGTATCTAATAAGGCCACCCCTTCACTGTCCCAGTGCTGGACAGTGGTGGGTTCCCTTCACATCCTCGTCATTCTGCCTTCCAATTTTTTCTTTTTGGCATCCAGGGTCCCTTTGGTTTTGGGAAGGAAAGAGGGTGCCTTTAAAGGGATGTTCCTGCTATTTTAAATGGCATTCCAGAGAGTTACTGAACACTTTCTGGCTGCCTAACCCATCAGATTGCTAGAAAGACAAGTCGAGAAGCTTTGTTCTGTGTTATTGTGTTCCTGTTACATTGCCATGGTTACTGTGATGCTAACTAAAATGACTGCATCTCTCATGTGAACAGATGACTAGATCTGCCCTCACCTGAAAGTCTTAGACACTGACTGTTATTCTACTTTTTCCTTGTCTACCCAAGAAACACCCAGGGAACACTGCAGACGTTCCTCTGCCTGTGTGCACCTCAGATCCTGTGAAGGCGGTGATGGCTCCAGGCATCGGGGAGCATCCTCTGTGGAGAAGAGCAGAGGTGAGACCAATGGCGAGCACCAGTGTGACAAGGGACCAATCAGGACTGGGCAGCCCTTGTCCTTTGGGTCAGCCCAGCCTGCTGAGAGAGGAGAGGACTCCAGCCCTGCAAGTGCTTCCCAGCAGGACAGCCCCAGGAAGCCCAGCAAAAGGCAGGACAGAGCCCCCAGGCCCGGAGGTGCTCCTCAGAAAAGGTGCACGCACCAGCTCAGAGACAGGTGCTCCCCAGCTGGGTCCAGCCGGCCTGGCAGTGCCAGGGGGGACATTGCCTATACTGAACAGAGCCCTCTCCATCATCGCACACCAAGAACCAAGGTGACCCAGGACAAGCTTATAGGAGGGGTCTCCTCAGATTTGCCATTCAGCACAGAAGAGTTGAGGTCAGGATGCAAGATGCTATGTGAGGACATTCTGGCATCTACAGAGAGTGATGTGGTTCATGGCCCCCCACCTGGACAGACTGTGAACATTCACCTTCTTCCTGTAGAGCAGCGCCTGCAGATAATCCAGAGGGAGCGAAGTAGGAAAGAGCTGTTTCGCAGAAAGAACAAGGCAGCAGCCGTCATCCAGCGAGCCTGGCGAAGGTAAGAGGGCAGGGCCTGCAGTCTCCTGCAGTCCTGCTGTTGTGACACCCTGTGCTATCTGATGTGCTCCAGTGAGCTCTGTGTTCAGTGGATGACTGGATGGAGCCTTCCCAAGAAATGTCTACCTCCCACTTCCAGCACTTCACGTGGGTTAAGCAAAACGGAAGATTGCTCTGCACAGGAAAGTGCCCGGGGCGGAGCAGTGAAGAAAAAGCTCTGGTTGGCCATCACACAGCCCAGTTTCCCAATGCAGCTCTGACAGTTACCCGACTTTAGGCAAATCACTGGGCCTCTTTGACCCTCACTTTTCCCATTTGTAAAGTGGGGTCTGTCAACCCTTGCACCTGTGAGGCTGCTGCTTTTTGAACTCTGGTGCACCATATGTAGGATCTCTTTTCTATCTTTTAAATTTATATTTATGTGCTTACATGTATGTCTGTGTGAGGGTATTGTGTCCCCTGGAACTGGCGTCATAGACAGTTGTAAGCTGCTATGTGGGTGCTGGGAATTGAACCCCAGGCCTCTAAAAAATCAGTCAGTACTCTTAATCAGTACTCTTGTTTTTTAAAATATAATTATAAACCTGTGCACACCGATGTGTAAGAGCCTGGAGCAATGGCTAAGAGCAGCAGTTGACAGTGGATGCTGATAGACTCTCTCTGTGTGTGTGTGTGTGTGTGTGTGTGTGTGTGTGTGTGTGTGTATTGATCAAAGGACAACTTTTAGGGACTGATTCTCTCCTCCTATCATGTGGGTCCCAGGAATCAAACACAGGTTACTGGGCTTGGTAGCAGGTGCCTTTACCTGCCCAGTCATCTCACTGGCCCCACACAAGATTTTTCTTTAAATCTCTAACCTAGGAATTAGTCATACTTCAAATATCGAAACCAGTGCTTGGATATACAAGATCAGTATGCTTGAAATATATGAACCCCTGTGAGCCACTCTCACACTCAGACTGAGTCCTAAAAGTTAGGGGAGAGGCTACGTTGTAGGACTGAGACAGTGTGTGTGGAGCCTGACACCTCTAGAGTAGGGACAGGTTTTTCTGTATCAGTCTCCTTCACACTGTAGTCTCTACTCTATCCAAGGGAAGCCTTTCCTTGGTGACAAAACAGTAGTTACATGGCCTCTAATGCCGGGGCAATGGTGACAAAACATTAAGTCACTAGGAAGTCCAGATGCTGTATGTCACAGACCATTAGGAAAACAAGAAGGGGCCTAGAAAAAAAAACAGCACTAGCAGGGAGCACAGCAACCAACTTAGAGAGAGGCTCTGAGAACAGCCTACCAAAGGCTACACAGCCCAGAGCCAAGCCATCTGGTTTGTGTTCATCCAGCCTTTGAATAACATGCCCTTATGTCTGTTCCCATCTGTTCAAGCTCATGTAGTTCCAGCCGCCCCAAGGAGCTTGCAAGACAAGGATCAGGAGTCCTATGTTCTTAGACACAGACACTCAGGAAAATGACTTGTGCCCATAGTAACACTTGAACCTTTGGCTGGCCCACATCTTAGGGCCTTCCCTTCCATGACTAGCATGTTTACTGCAGTCATGATAATGGCGGTAGATGGAGGTGTCTTATGGTAGATTTGAGGTTGGAGAAGGAGAACCTGGATGGTACTTACATGCCAGGTAACAGTTCTACATCAGCTGCTGCTGTGGCTGCCATTGCCAATAGTAGTCAGCATTTATTGGGCCAAATCCTCATAGCACTGTCCCCAGCCCATCCCACAAATCAGGAGATTCATCGGCTTTCTGACATTCCAGAGTTAGAAGGACTAACTTTAAGGTGGCCTCCACCAGGCCAAGTCACAGATAGAAATAGTCACTATTCCTCCACTTGCTGAATGATGCCCGAACACGCACTGGCCACCAGCCAGGAAGACTTTGCATTAAGCATCTTTGCTGAAAACAGCCGGGCTTACCCTTCAGGCCCCACAGCTGCTCCCTGCAGAAAGGTCTCGCCTCAGACTGTCTGTTCTCAGACTCCTTTGAAGAGGCAGAGGTTGACAGGTCCTGTCACTAAGTGTCCAGAGTAAATGAGCCCAGAGTCATTCCCTCAGGAGCAGTGACTCACAGTGCACGCCCACCTGGGCAGGTGATTATGCAGGTCTGCTTGGGCTGCACTATTGTGCACATCTGAGGTGGGGCATCAGTGCTCAAAGGGCCCATGGGAAGTCACACTGAGTGATTGTTTCAGCTATTCTCTGCTTATCTACAGAAGCCCAAAGCACTGTCCTTGCATGGTGTCTGGCACCAAGCCCAAGGAACAATGAAGGGGGTAAGGGGACAGGCCTTGCCACTCTTGTTCATGAAATGTTGGCTATCTTTGTGGGGAACATGTCCCGCAAAGAACTAGTACACAGGGAGAGAGTGAGAAGATGAAACTTTAAGGCCCAGAAAAAAAATGAGTCTTAAATTTGTAATTTTTATTAACAATCAAGAGGTGAGTATTTGGGGTGTTTATAAATGTGGGGAGAGGTGGCCCTTCCTCCAGCATTTTCCACCCTCCTAACTGAACTGGAGTGAGCCAGCTTGCCCTGAAAATGCCATCTCTACCCGTGGAGCAGGGATTAGACTTGCTAGCATTTACATGGGTGCTGGGGATCCAAACTGCAGTCCTCATGCTTGTGTGGCAAGTACTTTACCTATGAGCTACCTCCTCAGCCCTCACTAACCCACCTGAGTATTTTAAACATTAAAATTGCATGGTGGAGAAGCGAAGCCAAAACACAGCTATGTAAAAGCACTTTATTTTTAATAACACACAGAGCTAAGTCTTATTAGCATTTCTCCAGCCCATGACTGATAGGAATTAGCAACAGGCTAGACAATAGAAAGAACCTATGGCCTGTGGTTGAACGGCACTATTGAATACAACAGTTAACCCCAAGCAGGAATGTGTTCTTGAAAATCGGAGATGGGGACCTGTTACTCTGCCTTTAGGACCAAGACCCTCCCCACACTCAGCCTGTCTGCATGCCATTCCATACATGTGTTCTCATGCAGACTAAAAGCTTCAGCTCCACAGCACTAGTCAACACCCAGGCTTCCTGGTGATCTCTGCCTACAGAGCATAGGACAGGAAGAAATTGCTTGTTAGAATGTGGTACTACTCTAGTCAAGAGATGCTATGGCTTTTTACTTACTGGGAAGAATCATGTAGGCTGGTTGAAGTCAGCTTTTGAGGAAGCAGGAAGAGGCTACCCCAAGCCCAGCAGGGAGGTTTTTTTTTTAGCAGGCTTAGGAAGGTTACCCCATCTTTGGGATATTGTCACACAGGCATGGGGCTGCCTGGTCTTCTGTAAGCTCAGCAGTCACAGTTAATATAGTACAGATAATGAACATTAATGAAGCTCTCCTTTAAAAATTTCAAGATAGTTGTCATTCCTGCCACAGGCTTCAATTCCCAGCAGGGTCATCATAGTAAACTCGTCATTCTCTTTCCATGTGTGTCCATCGTGAATACAGCAGACCTGTCAGCAGGGCTAGGCTACAAAATCCTGGGTTTGGTGTCACCTCCCTAAGCTGTTTAGTCATTACAAATGTCCTAAAACGTGCCTCCCCAGGACTCAAGCCATAGGATGGTGCCTGGAATATAACACAATTAACACTGTTACCTCCTTACAGCGTAGCTCAGACTTACATCCCTTCCCTAACCAAGCTCATGGTGCTTTGACCACATTTGGGGGGGGGCACAAATGCCCCATTTCTGCTTTTGCCGATTCTGCTGTCTAGAGTGCCTTTCTCTGCCTAGTAGGCATCTACTCCCCTTCTGAAACCCAGTGGAGTACAAAGCAGCCATGGAAAGCCTCCCAACACCAAGCTCTCAGCTCTTGCATGTCACCTCACTCAATGCAGGTGCTGCTTTCCACCTTAGCCCATCCCACCTGCCTGTGGCTGCTGAAGGTGACTTATCCAGTTATCCTGTCCAAGTCTCACAGCATTTCAACATGAATGCTGAAACTGGGATGGGCACCTGTTCCATTCCCGTAGCTGTCAGCACCGCAGGGTCTTACAGCCTGTCCTCTGTGACCCCTCCAGCTACCAGCTCAGGAAGCATCTGTCTCGTCTTCTGCACATGGAGCAGCTCAGAGCCGGAGACGTGCTTAGATGTAGCCAAGTGTGCACAGCCCTGCTCCTCCAGGTCTGGAGGGCAGAAGTGGAACTCAAGTTCCCAAAGTCCATCTCCGTCAGCAGAGTGCCCAAAAGTTCATCCAAAGGCATGTCGACCACGAAGTCTGCCAGGCATGCTGTGCTCAGGCAGATCTACGGTAAGTATTCTTCTGGGTACTTTGGCACAGGATCCTGAGTGGCACACCACAATCTTCAATAAGACTAATAGGACTTAACTGAACAACTCTCTACCCAGATTTAAAAAAATTTTTTTGTTTCAAGAATCAGAATTTCCACTAGTCAATTTAATGCCCTACTTCCAGGCAAGAGCCCCTCCTCTTAGTTCCAAGACTAAAAGCCTCACCACTTAAACTTCTCAGACCTCTGCTTGAGCCCTCCCACCACATAAACCCTCTGATCTTGTGTCCCTTTGGCCATTCTATGCTGAAAGTGTCATCTATGCAAATGCCCATAACTCAGTTACTGAACTATTAACAGATGAGTGGCTGTAACCTGAAATATTTCCAGCTCTACAAAAGGCCCTCAAAGTAAGCCAGCAGTTCATGTATCCTTACATAATTTGGATAGCTGCTCAATAGAGAAACAAGAGCCCATGTACCTTTAGGAACATCCCTTGCAGTTTAGACAGCATTCCCAGGCTACCATGTCTGTGATCATTAGGTTTCTTTTTTTTTTCTCCCTCCATTCATTTATTTAGCTCATAAATAAAGTCATGCACAATTATGATACACAATACAGTATGTTCACAATGGCATGGCTAAATTAAACCAATTAACATGTTATATCACACATATTCATCATTTTTGTTTTGAGAACACTTAAAGTATACTATCTCACAACTTTTAAAATATAGCATATTGTTATCAACCATATTTATCATGCTCTCAGTAGACCTCAAGACTTCAGAGAGTCCATGCCTCTTGTCCAACTGCAATTTTATATCCTTAAACCAATCGTTTCCCCATTGTTAAAAG